ATCACCAGTGACATTATGATTATTAGAATGTTATTAGAAAAGAAAATCATCATCATTTATCTCAGAATCAAGGAAAAAGGTAAAAAGGTATAAGGTAAAGAAAGAAAGAAAAAAAAAAAGAAACGAAAATAAAAATAAAATCATCATCATCATTTACCTCAAAATCAAGGAAAAAGGTAAAAAGGTGAGATTAGTAGGACTGGTAATTCACTCCTTGGTGACTAAGCACTTGTGGAGCCATCTATGTGTAAGCTTGATTAATAAACGAAAATAACAGTGGATATGGCATCTATTTTACTATCTTAGCATCAATGGGTCAATTTTTTTTTTTTTTACTCATCTTTTAATTAAATTCAATATGGTACAAGCCACTGCCCTGACATTCCCTTAAAAAAGTCTAAATATACCTAATGACGGGAACTTCAGACTAGATGCTCAACAAAACTTTTATCATTTCCGGTTCTGTTTCGGACAAAACCTTTATTTTTCTCCCCTTTCAAAATTGCTGTTTGCTACTTCTGCTATATTCTTAATGTATTCTTATATTCAACTGAGAAAATTTTCCCATCAATACTGAAGTAGCTACAGAGAGTATAATCACTTGAATTACATTATACACGATATGTCACCTATCTGCACTATAACTATCATACATTTTTACTGACCTAGTAATATTACACACCAAATTTTTCCTACCTGTTAGCATTATACACCTGAGGTACAAGACAACAGTCTGCTATAGTGACTTCATCCCCAACACAGTACTTTCCAGCAGAATTAGCCAACACCTGCTCCAAGGCTGAAAAATTATAAACAGTGTTCAGTGTTAAGTATAAATTTATAAAAAAAGAGAAAGAAAAAAAAAAATTTAATCTTGCTTTCTGGAATCAAAGATCCTTTACTACTACTGCTACAGTTGCAACAATATTTTACATTTTGGAGGTAGCTTTTCTACTTTCATTAAGGGAGCATTGATAAATGATATAATCATTTTCTAAAACTCCAATTCATACTGATTTACACTATTCTATTAGAGAAAGGTCTAGATATGCCTTTTTTATATGAGGTATGTGTTACTATTTCAATGCAAACACGGTATCTTTTGAGTTCAAGGAAAAATAAACCTATGAAATATTTGAAAAAGATAAACTTCAAAGCTTTTAATTGTAAGATGTTACTTGCAAAATAGTTAACCAGCATGATTTAGGAATGGGAGTGCATATAACAGTAATCAAAACTGGTTGTCCTTAATAAAAAAATATAAAGTTATATAAAATTATTACTAACAGTTACTCTAAAATGAATTAATCTTGACCCAATAACTACTCTTACTCCTTTAAAATTGTGATTGACTGTGCATATATATGATATTTTTGCCAGACTGTAATTACAACAGCTTTACTGTAAGGCCTGTTCATTTGAGAGACAAAATTTACTGGGATAACATTTATACACTCTTCTGTTACCCATGATGCTAATGCTTATTTCAATTAATGAAGAAAAGTCCCTGTTAACAAGTTTATAATTATGGATTTTCTTCTGATGACGTCCAATCACTTTTGAATATGTGCCTATTATGTTTACTCTCACAATGATATTTATGTGTCATGTGTCTGGCTGTAAATTCAAAATATCTGATTTTTTTTAGATGATGTGCTATATATATATATATAAATGTTAATAGTCTAAATATCCTATCCAATAATGAAAGAGATTCATGCAATATTTTTTGGAGAAAACGAAAACCTATTTTTGAGTAACTCAAGAAAAAGAAGAAGAAGAAGAAGAAGAAGAAGAAGAAGAGGAACATGAAGAAGAAGACAAACATAACTTCAAAAAAATGTGGTCTTATGTAATCTGCTGCATTATTTTTTTCATGTTCATTCTACTCTGAAATATTCATTGAACAATGTTGATATAATAATTTTCTAAAACTCCAATTAATACCAATCTACACTATTGTATTAGAGAAAGGTCTAGATATGCCTTTTTTTACGTGAGGTATGTGTTATTATTTCATGGTGTGCTCGTCTTCTTTTTCTCCATCCAAGTAATACTTTGATATTCTGCTTTATTTCTAAATAGAGTTTGGCCAAACCCATTCCTGTGTGAGATAGATTGTTATTGTTTTGTAAATTATGACCTCTTACACCTATTCACCTAACAATAAAATATTAGACCAATAAATCCACAACAAAACTTATAAAATAAACACAACATAAATATATGACATCCGTAAAACAAACATAAAACTGCAAGGAAAAAAATCAGTAACACACACAAGACAATATACAAAACCCCAATAAATCCTCAAAAGATACATACTGACACAAACACAAACTCAAAACATACCGACAAACCCCTTTTGGATGTAGAAATGTCCCCACTCCATTTTCGTTTCTCCGATTTTCTGCAGCACCGACAAATTTTGCAAGGGCTGGATGCCAGATCCGATGATTTCACATACTTCCCGAACCTGCGCACAAAAGATGGGGCTATTGGGCAAGAATTCAAGATAAATGAGCGATATTTTCAATATTTTTTTTTTGGCATTTCATGACGATCTCTATGGGGGGAAAATTCACGAAAACTATGTGATGTATGTAACTTCTTTTACAGTTGTTTCATGAGCCTGTACATGACAGAACTAATTAGGGATAAATTTTAAAAAGTAGAATGATATTCATAATAAATCATGAATATCACAATGAAAAGCATGTAAAATAAAAATAAAAATAAATCAGATAAAAAAGAAAGAAAATAAAGAATAAAACTACTGGACAAGAAATGAAAAATGAAAAAAATTGGGATTAAAGAAAAAGAAAGACAAGAAAAAAATCAGATTCAAGAAAAAAAGAAAAGAAAAAAAAAAAAAAAAGAAAAGGTTCGGTTTAAAGACAAAGTCTCTTACCTTTGCTCTCTTAAACAAATCCTTCGGAAGCAGCGGTTTCTGGGGGAAAGCCTCCTCAAGGTATTCCAAAATACTTATCTGAAATGGAAAAGCTCTGTCAGTCTAATAAATAAATAAATATAGAATAAACAATTCTTCTTCTATTTCCTCTTTGTTGCTCTTTAACAATAAACTAATAAATAGACAAATAAACAAACAAATGAATCAGCTATGAATTAAAATCTCTTTGCCGCAGTTCTTGTTTCTTTCTTTCCAATTTCTAAAAGTAAGTAAATAAATAAACAGATAAACAAACAAACAACTTTAAAAGCAATTTCTTTTTTCTGTTTTTCTTATTCTTTTTCCCCCTTTCTGCTTTTTGAAAACAGATAAATAAACAGATTAATAAATAAACTGACTATGATTTGAAAACTTTTTGCTAATTTTCCTCCTCTATTTCTACTTTTGCACTTTTTAAAAATAAATAAATAAATAAATGAATTAATCAATTTACCAAGAATTTAAATAATTTTCCTATCTTTCTTCTATTTCTTCTTTTCTGCTAAAAAAGACATTATAATTTTGTTATACATATGTATATATCTATATATTCATGGATCTATCTATGCATCTATGAATCATCTATATATCTATGTATCTATCCATCTATGAATCTATCTATATATCTATGTATCTATCCTAATATGAATCTATCTATATATCTATGTATCTATCCATCAATGAATCTATCTATATATCTATGTATCTATGAACCTATCTATCTATGTATGCATCTCTCTATCTATCATGACTGTCACAAGTGGTGTAGATTGGGGGTTGTAATGTTTTAAATTTGCCAATAAAAGCGAGTGGTTATTGGGTATAAACATTAGAAATTAGTCATATCTTATAATAATAGCAGCAAACTACCGCTATTGTTTTTCAGTTTTTTGTAGCTTGCTTTATGCTAAATTGGAGATTATTCAAATATCTAGAAATTTGCCAACAAATGCTGGTTTTAGCTTCATATACCAAAAATGGAAGCTTTTAATAAGTTAAAACTATGGTAAGAAACCAGAGAGACAGACAGACTGACACATAATTAACACCAAGAAGAATGCACATATTTGATAAATACACAGGAAATGGAATATTGTGATGATTAAGCTTACCGATTGCGTCAATGTGTTTTCGTCGACGATAAGAGCTGGCACTTGTCCTATGGGGTTGAGCTTTTTGTACTCATCGCTCACCTGTAAATGCAAAAATGATTGATGAAATTAAGCATAAGAATAATAGAATCCTATGAATCAATCTGTAAATCATATAAAAAAGCAAATAAACAAATAAATAAGACATCAATAAATGTTTAAAGCATATTATAAAAAAAAAATCCCACTGCATATCAAAGAATATACAAATAATATTTGACAAATAATTACATATGAATATCAATAATAAGAATACATGTCAACAAAATCTTAAAAGAAAGGAGGAATCACACTAAATGGAGATGGAGATGGAGGAGGAGGAGGAGGAGGAGGAGGAGGAGGAGGAGGAGGAGGAGGAGGAGGAGGAGGAGGAGGAGGAGGAGGAGAGAGAGGAGGAGGAGGAGGGAGGAGGAGAGAGGGAGGAGGAGGAGAGGAGAGGAGAGGAGGAGGGAGGAGGGAGGAGGAGGAGGAGGGAGGAGGAGGATGGAGGAGGAGGAGATGGAGGAGGAGGAGAGGAGAGGAGGAGGAGGAGGAGGAGGAGGAGAGGAGGTAGGAGGAGAGGAGGAGAGGAGAGGAGGAGGAGGAGGAGGAGGAGATGGAGGAGGAGGAGGAGGAGGAGGAGGAGGAGGATGGAGGAGGAGGGAGATGGAGGAGGAGGAGAGGAGGAGGAGGAGGAGGAGGAGGAGGAGGAGGATGGAGGAGGAGGAGGAGGAGGAGAGGAGAGGAGGAGAGAGAGGAGGAGGAGGAGGAGGAGAGAGGAAGAGGATGGAGGAGGAAGGAGGAGGAGGAGAGAGGAGGAGAGGAGAGGAGAGATGGAGGAGGAGAAGATGTGAGGAGAGGAGAGGAGGATGAGGAGGAGGAGGAGAAGGAGGAGGAGAGGAGAAGAGGAGGAAGGAGGAGGAGAGATGGAGGAGAGGAGGAGAAGGAGGAGGAGGAGGAGGAGGAGGAGAGGAGAGGAGGAGGAGGAGAGGAGGAGGGAAGAAGGAGAAGAAGGAAGAAGGAGAAGAAGAAAGGAGAAGAAGAAGAAGAAGAAGAAGAAGAAGAAGAAGAAGGAAGAGAAGAAGAGAAGAAGAAGAAGAAGAGAAGAAGAAGAAGAAGAAGAAGAAGAAGGAGAAGGAGAAGGAGAAGAGAAGAAGAAGGAGAAGAAGAAGAAAGAAGAGAAGAAGAAAGAAAAAAGAAGAAGAAGAGAAGAAGAAGAAGAAGAAGAAGAAGAAGAAGAAGAAGAAGAAGAAGAAGAAGAAGGAAGAAGAGGAGAGAAGGAGAAGAAGAAGGAGAAAAAGAAGGAGAAGAAGAAGAGAAGAAAAAGGAGAAGAAGAGAAGAAGAAGGAGAAGAAGAAGAGAAGAAGAAGGAGAAGGAGAAGAGAAGAAGAAGAGAAGAAAAAGGAGAAAAGAAGGAAAGGAAGGAGAAGGAGAAGAAGAAGGAGAAGAAGAGAGCGAGGAGGAGGAGGAGGAGAGGAGGAGGAGGAGGAGGAGGAGGAGGAGGAGGAAGAAGAAGAAGACGAGAAGAAAAAGAGCGATAGAGAAAATAATATTCTGATCTTACCTGCTCTTGTTTCAGCAAATTTATTGCACGATATTCATAATCCACTCCTTTATGGGCAAGAGCTGGAAAAAAATCATGCAGTCAATAACCTTATCCATAAACAGGAGATATAAGAAAGGAGAGAAAGATGAAAGTCTTAAAAAAAGAAAAGGAAAAGGAAAAAAACACATATTTCATTAAAAAATGTATATATACTGTACATAAATTACAAATATATAATGATTAAAAAAATTAATATCAATAATTGTTAAATCTATAAACTAGCAATTAAAGTTACATATTATGACAAAGCATTTGTTTGTCCTAAACATTAACTCACCTATCCTAACACGCCAAGAACAGGAACTCCGAAAGTAGGAGTAAAGAATCGGCTGTGGATAAAGAAACTGTTATTAATATTTCAGCTTTTTTAGAATTGACACAAAAAATATAAGAAAATCTGTTTAATTTTTCCTGTCATCAGGTACAATGCTTAACTCCATTGTCTGATGATATTGTAACCTTTTTATTCTTACAATTCTTACTAAAAGTCTAAACTGGTTATCATCACTTTCTCCACTTATTTTCTCAATATGCTGTACACTCTCTCTCTCTCTCTGTTTAGTGAGATTTACCATTACTTTCCCCTACCCAGTTTCGAACATAGTTAATTTGTAATCTTTCAGACTAGGCTTTAAGTGATACTAAGCCACTGGGATCCAGAGTAGACAATTACCCAGAGTAGGCCAGGAAACCTCCCCCAAGTATATTTGGTAAATTAGGGCTTAGGGTTTGAACCATTTCCTGTCAAATGCCTCCTGAGAAATTTGCAAGTTGTTCTATCCCAATCTACATGGTAGGTGTTAACCTAAGGTATATCTAGAATTACTTAAAACATAAAGCCATTGACGCTGATAAGCAATTGAGGCTTTTCCTTTACTCTTTGCAGACTTCCATTTTCAAATACATACAATCTATTACAATACGCATTATCCATATCTGTTCTTATCCCTCACATATTTAAAGTTTCTAGGATGAGCGCACTCAGCTATATGCCATGTTCGTTACCATTGCATCAAACAAACATGGAATCTAATTAAACTATATCAAATACTATAAAAATGATTGTATGTTTACACACACGCAGACTCATCTCTTGACGTCAACAAACATGTCACGTGATGTAAACAAAACCACGTGCTTCTCGAGCGCGATTCGAGTGGTTTGCGCGTATTCGAAATATGATAAATTCGCTTCTGAATAATAAATATGCGGAAAATACTAACCTGTATATGTTTTATAACAGTTACAGTAAATAATGACAATATTGATACTGGTGGTGGTACTGACTATGCCGTAACTCTTACTACCACAACTAATTCTAACATTACTAATATTATATTACAACTACCACTAATTCTAATATTACTACCACCACAACAACTTAAACTATGGCCAGTAGAGTTACGGGATGCGGCGTGAAGGGGGCAAGTTCACTCGCAAAATGTGTTGCCTCTATATATTATTTCAATCGATACTTGCTGGCTCCAAACAATCTACTGAAATGACGAAAAATTCTATTTCTAGCTTATTAGCGATCAGAATAACGAAACCTTTTTTTAATTGATAGAGAGCTGTCTTTCTTAATCAAATTTACTATTTGTCATAAACATAAAAGTGTAGCTCCTTCGCTTAGCACAAGGGGGGGGGGGGCAAGACGTGACAATTTCAAACACTGAAAGTAGATTTCAATATCAATGTGATTCCGTTATTAAGAAAGCACGGAGGGGATTTTTCAATCAGCTGTCTATGCCACTGAACATGTTATTAATTATATAATCATAGGTGAATGATCTGGAAATGATCAGAATTTATCTCCATCATCAATGTCCACCAAGTGCAAACGTATTTGGTTGGGAAGAAAACATTTAAGAAATTAAATAGAGCACCGATGAATTACTCAATGACCCGACCTGACTCGTCGCTACTGACTACCACTACGCCTACCACCATCACCAACATTAATAGTACCATCATTAATACTACGACTAAAGATAATATCAATAATGATGGTTATGGTGATGTCGCTACTACTAAAGATAATAATAATGGTAGTAGTAGTAGTAGTAGTAGTAGTAGTAGTAGTAGTAGTAATAATAATAATAATAATAATAATAATAATAATAATAATAACAGTAGTAGTAGTAATCTCCGCCAGGGCAATAAGGTCATTGATGCAATAAAAATATTCAGATTCGATGAATTACATTGAAATCACCTTTTCTCAAGTGCACCGGTAGCGTCCGCAAACATAACTTCCTTGGCGGAGTTAGTAAAGGTAATGATAATAATAATAGTTACCCCTCTAAATAAAATTAACTGATGCAGTCATTTAAAAAAGTTCCTGGATCCGGATCAAAAACCAAAATCTAAGGGCATATCATGATAAGACACATCTCTGATCAAATTTTCATAAAAAAATCTATTCACAACTTTTAAAGATATCCTTGTCAAATAACAAACGGACATTTAAACTAACCAACGCTACCAAAAACAACCTCCATGGCGAGGTGATGATGATGATGATGACATACACAACTACAACATTAAAAACAGCAATGATAATAATGGCGATGATGATGATGATGATGATGATGATGATGATGATGATGATAATGACACCAGTAAAGATGAAAATATTACTAACAATATTGATAATATTAATTATAACAATGATGATGTACCGCAAAAATAATGATAATAATAGTAACAACAAGCATCGTAACAACAATATTAATGACAGTAAAAATGACGTTGCAGATTAAGAAAAAAGTGAATAAAAATTATAACAACTTTATTAACAATAGCAGCAATAACGGTGATAATGACAATATTACCAAAACTCCTACAACTACCATAACAACTCATAACAACAACGACAGCAGTAATACCAACAATGTTAATAACAATAACAACATTAAAAATATAATGATAATAGCAACAAAAACATAAAAATAAGGACAATGACAATGATAAGTGATGGTAATAAGAACAATGACGCAAACAAAATTATTACAATAGCAGTAATGACACCAATATTGATAATGATAATCAATAATAATGACGCTGATGATAGTGGTGGTAGTAGTCGACGACAACCTCAATAATAATTATATTGATAATAAAAACAACAACAACAACAACAATAATAATAATAACAATAATTATAACAATAGCAATAACATTAATAATGATAACAAATAATAACAAAAATAATGATAATAATATAATGACAACAACAATAATAAAAACAACAATAATAACAATAATGATAATAATAACAATAACAAAAAATAATAATATAATAATAACAACAGTAATGATAATAACAATGACCATTATAATACTAACGGTAATAAATAATAGCAGTGATAACAAAAGTAGTAGTAGTAGTAGTAGTTATAACAATGATAATAATAATAATAGTAAATACGACAACAACAACAACAACAACGACGACGACGACGACGATGGTGATGGTGATGGTGATGGTGATGGTGATGATGATGATGATAATGATGATGATGATGATGATGATGATGATGATGATGATGATGTTGATGATGATGATGATGATGATGATGATGATGATGATGATGATGATGGTGATGATGATGATGATGATGATGATGATGATGATAATGGATGATGATGATGATAATAACCACAGCTACAGTAATGATGATAATAATAATAATGATAATGATAATGAGGATGCCATGAATAATAATATCAAATTATTGATGGTGATTATAACAACAACAGTTATAATGATAACACTATTGTTAGTGATTATATATAAATAACACAATAAAATTAAACGTAATAATACTATTAATTAACAAAGAGGGAGTGAGGAGTGAGGCGGAACCTGCCTATGCAAGTTGTATATCTGGGCGACCTTGATCCCCCGTTGACTCCTCAGAATGATAAAATATATTAAATGCGTCCATTTCAAATAATTTTTGTGAATGTAAATATTAAATACACTTAAGCATTAGTCTGAATCGTAATCACATCAATTGCTTAATTATAAGTTTAGTAATGCAATACGTCAAAATTATATACCTCTGTTATATATGAATTATACGAATATTTTACACTTCCGTAAGTCCACTCAGTATATGAAACTTCACTTAACTTCTAAACAACGTGATGACAAAATCCGTGTCTCAATTCGCTTAAAGAATAAAACCTGTAAGTACTTACCTTGGAAGGACTCATTCTGTGCTACTTCGCTGACGGTCAGAGTAGACTGCTGAGCGCTTGGCAACAGATCGCGCAGCCGGTTATGGGCACTGCGCAGGAAATCTTTGAGATGGAGAGAGAATAGTATTTTATGTTTAATTCATGGAAGGAGGAAGGATTTTTAAAGGTTATGGATTTATTTGGATGTTCTTGTTATTGTGCAAGATTCTTTGTAAACTGTAATGATGTGGGAAGTTTTGCTTTGAACTAGGGGTATATATTCCTCCGTTCTTGTTCAGTATTAATGTATTCTGCTTGGAAGTGTTGCGGTTGGTAACCATTAACATTGTTTTCATATTCAGCTTCTGATACAAGTCACTAATGATAAGGAAAGAGTAAGAGAAAGCGATACAATATATCAATAGAACCATCACTTCACAATCATTCTCTTTTACGGCAGTTAAAATACGATACGAAATGGGTACTTGGCAACTGGAGATGTATGACCAATGGCAGACTCGGATTCTGTGGGTGTGCTTCTCTCTCTCTCTCTCGCTCTCTCCCTGCGGCAAATTTGACACGAATTCCACTGCCACAGGTGGTTATGCTTCGTCAGAGTATCAGCAGATGGTACATGTATGTCCTCGTACAGCTGAGTATTCATATGCGCAAGAAGCAACAAGGGAGAACGTGCAGTGTGAGTTGTCTTCATTTATTTGCAGATACGATTACAAATAAAATCATCCCATCAAAGCATTGATCACTGTAATTTCTTTTATCAATCTATTTACTCTTTTCTTTATTGGTATCTCATTCAATGCGTTTCAGTATGAAGTATTTTTGAAAAAAAATACTCAAAACCAATTTTGAAATATAAAAACTAGCTAGAAATTGACTAACTGAAACATCCCTCACCTGCTAGACTTTTGAATACAAGAATTGCTATTTTCTACATACTTACCTTGCTTTCGCTCATTCGATTTTGATGAATAAATACGTTAAAACATAAATATATGATATTATCACTGTAGATAGATCGTAAAATTTGGAAAAATGCCATGAATAACACTTCATACATAAATTTCAGAAAATTTCATTTAAATGAATTCAGAGATAATTTCACATAATTTCCTTTATGCTGTGTTATTCTACCACCATATATACCATGTCATAACTATCTATCTGCTAAAGTCTATTGTATTTTTAAAATGTATATTTAGCTGTTCATTTGTTTACTGCCCACCAAAGATCAACATTTCATTATTGAATAACTATGATAGATTCCTCTTTTTATCGCAATTTATCAGAATCATAAGGCATACTATGTATACGGTAAATATAATTAAATTAATAATGTAGTTAGTAAAGATTGTTTATAGAACTCGACTATTATAAAACACATAGGATCATTTTCATAAAGTATACTACCATCTTTGGGTAATGTTTATTGATAGATGTACTAAACATCATAAAATCAATATTCAATTATATTTTCCCAATAAATACCTTCCATTGAGTCAGATATTGAAGTATTGAACGATACACCCAAATATAAAATAGATTATAGTTAGATATATATGTACTTACAATCATTAGCTTTAATTTTGATTTACCTTTGTTTAGAGATAGCTTCACAGAAACAATAAAATCAGGAACGATAGATTTAATATCCACCATTATTTACAGACCATATTGTAAGCAGTCAACAGTTATAAGAGGGATTCTAAATTAATTTCAGAGGGGGAGAAAGTTAGGCTATAAAGGGAGATACTGAGGTTTCCAGTAAAAAAATGACATTCTAGCAATGCATACAATTGTGAAGCATTGGCTACATGCTCAGTGTGATTTATATATTCTACAAATATCTACTACAGTAAAGACTTGTATGAACAGACTCAAAGCACGCTCATCCTGTCATGTAACAAAAACTTTTTTCTTTTAGTAGAAAAAAATATATCTTTTAGATGTCTTCACTAGCAGTTATATAACCATAAATGTATAAAAAGATCATTAGTTAGTTTTCAAATATACTCTAATGTATTTATATATGTAATTAGCATATATATGACATAATATTTAGTAGTATTCAGTAATGTGTATAAATAAGCAATGGGAAAGAAAATGTTATTTCTTAAGCTAGTAGATTGGATAACATTTGATAACTGACATTTAAGATAATATGAAACCCCTGGAAAAGTCACATACTCGCTTTTTTAGGCATATTATCAAGATCAAGACTTTTTTAACCTCGTAATTTCTCTTGAGGTATTGAAGAACAGTAGAGACAATTAACGTTTTTCATCACCTGAAGAAACTCAAGACTGACCTTTTGAAAGTTCATCATATCAGACAAGAAATGCTTTAAGGAAGACTATAAATTCATCTATGACCTTCTATGTCTTAGAAGGAAGAAAGAAAAAAAAAACACATTGTCGTATCTATTTGTATTTGGAGTAAATTATTGATTTAAAATAAAGATATGTCTTTAACAACGGTTTGACGAAACATAGAGCGAGGGAGAAAGAGAGAGACAGAGACAGAGAGACAGAGAGAGAGAGAGAGAGAGAGAGAGAGAGAGAGAGAGAGAGAGAGAGAGAGAGAGAGAGAGAGAGAGAGAGAGAGAGAGAGAGAGAGAGAGAAGAGAGAGAGAGACAGAGAGAGAGTAGAGAGATCTCATGAGAGAGAGAGACCACCCTCACTCTAGAATATTCACACACAAAAAAAGCTGGCTACACCCTCATACACCCTTCAGAACGGCTCATAGATTTTTTGTGTCCACGCAAACCTCAGTATTTACGTTACCTTTGTCACGTGATAACAGTGTAAATCACAATTTCATTACGATTATGCAGCCCGATGTGACCTGAATGATATTACGCAGTAAGTATATCACAGGATTTTGTCTTATGAATACCCCGTACACAGTAGTCTAGAAAGGAAAACAAACTTAATGATGTGGACTTTTTCTTTCGCTTTCGCAAAGTTGGAGTTGTGTCTGTTTCTCTAAATTTTGTTCCTTTGTTAGGCGTTGTCTACGTAAGGTATAGGATTCTGAGCGACAATTATGAAACGGGCCTAAAATAAATGTAAATCGGTAAGAAAATATAAATGTAAATCAGTATTGATGTAATGACCTAAAAAAAAAAAAAAAAAAAACGTTGATGAAACCTATATGGATTCCACCATCACTGATTTCTTTGTCTCTTGCGCATCTCCACCTGCCATTTCACGCACCCTAAACAGACCTATAAATACGAGCTCGCCAACCTGCTACTCTTATTGGTGAAGCTGCTGCTGTCATATCTCGAAGATGTAAGTTAAGTTGTATTTGTTCTCCATGTCTTTGTCTAGTTAATACAGATTTAGGGTTTGTAGTGTGGGTTTTGAAGTTTATCCATAGGCATATTGGCGTATTTTGTCGTGGCTAAGATGTACTTGACAGGTTAGGTTAGGATATTGCTGATGATAATCATTTAATAACTTGCGTTGGTTAAATGAACTAAAACGATGCTATCTGACCATTCAACTACTTATTACCTTTTTATGTGTATCTTCACCTGCCTAAAAAAAATTGACGGGTAATTTGTATTGTCTTATGACTCTATGCAAGTGTTAAGCTACATTTCTTTTATTTTCAGGGCGTTTTGGGCAAAATTCCTGTTCGTATCGACGGCGAGCGTGACTTTGGCCCTGAGCAGCTCCACTCCGCCCAAACAACTCCAGGATCTTCTCGGGACTTTCTTGCAACAGATGCAGAATTATTTCCCAGGATGCACCATGGTCGTCTTCCATGAACCGTCCATCACGTACGACTTCGCTGTCACTACGAACTCGACTATTTTTGGGAAAAAATTAGATGCTTCTAGTTCCAATAATATTCACCCTAATAACTTAATTTATTCTCAAATTTTCGATGATGTAATAAGAGATATTCCATCTATTATATTCAGTTTGACTGATGACCTTCAAGAGGTATTGACTCAAACGGATATAAACTCGATCACGCGATGTCCTCTGTATATCACTCTCGCCCCGAACATCACGGCAGCTCTTGGGCTCTTCCTGATCGCCAATAAAGACTGGGACAAATATTTCATGTCGAGGAAACACGTGATATTGACCCAGAGTTCGGCCGGGGACATCGAGTCGTTTTTCCAAGAGGGAGAAATCAACCTCATGACGAATGTGCTGCTCATTCGGCCCCTCCTGAAACCCTTGGCCCTCCGCCTGCTTACCAACGTCCCCTACAGCCCCAGCAGGAGCGATCGGGTGAAGAGTTTGAAGACGTGGCGTGGGGAATCGATGCCTCGTAAGGACGAGCTGTTTCCCGACAAACTGGTTGATTTGCATGGGCATCCGATGAGAGTCGTGACCTTCCACTTCCCTCCTCGGATTTTCATGGAGGAAGACTCCGACGGCAGCTATAACCTATACGGCGTTGATATAGAGGTTAGTCGTAAAATCCCTGTCATTCATTCAGATCATCCGTTCTTGTTTCCCCTCTTCGGTTGGTAGGGCTACTAGTGCGGCCCATGTGAAGATGAACATCAGTCTTTTCCTGTTTTATTTTTGATTTAGATATCTATTTATTTGTCATCGCAGGTCGTGCGTTCTCTCAGCAGAGCCTTGAACTTCACGGTGAGCTTCGTTCAGCCCTCCGACGGCGAGATGTGGGGCTGGGAGCAAGGCAACGGCACCTGGACGGGCCTCATGGGGGACCTCCAGCACCGGAGGGCGGACATCGGCGTCGCTGACCTGTACATCATGGAGCCGTACTTCGCGATCATCGACATGTCAGTGGCATACGACATCGAGTACCTTTGCTTCGTCAACCCCGTGCCCGGCCCGCTGCCCCAGTGGATGGCCCTCGGGCTGCCCTTCCTGGTGGAGACGTGGGCAGCCATCTTCTGCACCGTCTTGGCGGGCATGCTGGTGTTCACCCTCCTGGCGCAGCTGGGCTTCCTCGGGGGGCACCTGCGCGAAGCCCCGTGGTTCCAGAGCGGCAGCAACACCTGTCTCCTCCTCGTGGCCTGCGTCATGAACACCTCCTGGACGCGCGTCCCGACGACGTCCCACCTCCGGATCTTCCTGGCCCTGTGGAGCCTCGCCTTCGTCATCCTCGCGGTGGC